TTATCATATTGATATGCAAAAAAATAGAATTTATAGTGTACTTTTCATATAGTTCTTGAGTATCTATTTTTTTAAAATATCGAATTAATGTAATCTAATTTAACTTAAAAAATTAATCAAATTGATTTTTGAAAAATATAACATGACAATAAAAATCGACAGAAAAAGTAACATATATTAAGTCCGTGCTAAAACGGATCTTGTATCTAGTATATATAATAAAAAAAAAAGAAAAAAAAAAGGAAGCAAGACACAAGCAAAAGCAGAAACAAAAAGTATAGCACAGGGGGGGAAATGGGGATGACCCTTAAAGCCTTAAAAATTATAGGTCAATTGAAGAAGAGTAGGTGTTTGATGAATGCATAGAGAGAAAGACACGTACACAATGCAGCCTTTGAAAAGTTGAAGTGATAATAATTTCCCTGCCTGGCTTATCACTTTCAGACGGGAAAGCAGAATGACAAAAATACCCCTATTTGGCAATAGTTGAAAAGTGTTCGACAGTTTTCCCTTCTGTATAATATATCTATAATAAGTACATGTACTGTATGAAAAAAATAAAATAGTACAATTTAACTTGCTTTTGGTACAACTTTTTTATTCTATGTTAGTCCTCTCTAACTGTCTCTTCTAAATAAGGGTAAGGTAATGATAGAACCCAAGGAGAAGCTGAAACAGAGCAATAATCACACATACATGATACGACTCAAATTTGAACTTGGAAAAGAGATTGTTACCTGAACTGTATTTGCTCTTTCTGCGTGTTTGGAAATTTCAACAATGGCAAAGCGCAAAATTTATTAATTCCCTGTAAATAAATAGACAAAATAAAGGAAAAATCAAAGAAATTAAGAACGTTTGATAGTATTTTCTCTACAATTTGAAGAGCTTTAGAAAGAATAACCTAGAATGAAAAAAGTGGGAATGAGTTAACTATTGGAAAAAAACTGCACTAAGCAATAACAGGTGGCTTATGAAAGAAGTACCAATTTATGCCTTGAAATTACCAAAATGGCCTTACTTGTCTATTTGTTGAAATTGCACGGTACAACTTTTGCAGCCAACGGTACAACTTTTGTAGCCATGTTGGTCCTTCACAACTCTTGCAGCCAAGGGTACAACTTTTGCAGCCATGTTGGTCCTTTCCAACTCTCACTTCTAAATAAGAGTAATA